CCCACGATTTGCCCAAATTTTCTGTCGTGTCGTTGCACAAATGCGTCGTGGGCTCGTTGTGACCAGGGCTTTAAGCACCTTTTTTGTTGCACGATTTTTTGTGGTATCTATGTCTTCTGGTTGTCGTGAGTCTGTCCTACAACAGTCTTGCGACAGTCTTGCGACTGTCGTGCGATAAATATCTTGTCGTGGGTACCAGAAGAAATTTATTTAAGGGTATATAGCTCGGGCGAATGAACGCTTGGAATTAAAAACTGCCTGTCGGCGCTGAAAGAGGATGGCTATTCCACCTGAGCGACTACCGGTGGCCCTGCTGAGGGGGCGTCTGGAGGAACTCCAGCACGACAATAATATAGTGCTGTTGGCGTTGATCCGGGCCCGGGAGCAGCGCAGGAACCGGCGAAACCCCCGACGTTGGTGGGTTCGGCCGTGGATCGAGCGGCGCCTGATGTTTGGGCAGTATAGTACTCGGATGCAAGAGTTGGAGCGGGAATCTGCCGGTGACTTTGTGGGGTTCATGCGGATGGAGTGTGGCATGTTTCACGAGCTGTTGCTGAGTGTCGCCCCTCGCATCACCAAGGGCCAACTGCTAGGCTGCCGGACCCCTCTTGAGCCTGGGCTAAAGCTGGCCATCACTCTGCGCTATATGGCTACAGGGAACAGTTATCGCAGCCTGGCATACTCCTTCCGTGTCCCCCACAACACCATCTCAGGGTTTGTTCCGGAGGTTGCCCAGGCCATCGTTGATGAGTACGTTGGCGAGACGATGCAGACCCCCAGCACACCTGATGGATGGCGCCAAGTGGCAGACCGATTCCGAGTCCGGTGGAATTATAACCATTGCTGTGGAGCCATCGATGGCAAACATGTGGCCATCAAGGCACCGGCACCAGGTACTACAATTACAAGGGGTACTTCTCCATAGTCCTGCTAGGAGTGGTTGACGGCAACTACAAGTTCCTGTGGGCGGACGTTGGCGCAGAGGGGTCTGCATCGGACGCCGGCATTTTCAGCAGTGGCCCGCTGAGAGACGACCTGGAAGAGAACCGACTTGGCTTCCCTGAGCCTGAACCCTTTCCTGGTGATGACCACAACATCCCATACTTCCTGGTGGGGGACGACGCGTTCCCGCTGCGCCTCTGGATGATGAGGCCGTACGGGGGAAGGGTGCTCAACCATCACCGAGTCGTCATCCTCTGTCTGGTGCACATCAGCCATTTTTACCACCTTTCTCTTGTTGGTTTTCTTCTTGAGAGGCATCCTGGATACTAACTTTGATTAAATGATGTGACAAATGTCAAAAATTCGGGCAGAACTTCGATGTATCCACTGGAAAATCTCTGCAGCAAAATTATTGGCAGGCAACAGACCGGGCCTCGTTATATAGTCGGGACACGGACGCACGAGTGACCCACGAGTGACCCACAAGTGACTCACGAGTGACACACGAATGACCCACGACTGTTGTGCGCCAGTCGCACGACTGTAGCACGTGCATCCCACGAGTGAACCACGACCTGTTCACGTGAAAAACAGCCCCCCAACAATGCCCGACAACTCACGACTGACGCACGACTGATTTGCGACACACCCACGACATAACCACGACATTTCTTTTTTTTCTGTCGCGTCCCCATCGCCAAACCATCTTTGATGTGTCGTAGCCCTTGTGACCACTCGAAATACATTTTGGGCATGTTGCAAGATCTGGCCACGACAAATATTTTATGGGTCCACCACGACAAAATTTCATACGATCCGTTGTGACCGAGGCTTTAAAGCGTTCTTACCTTTTCGAACCATATCCCACTTAGCTCTGGTCGCAGGTTTCAACATGTCTGATTTTATCACCGAAATGTTTTTATCAATGAAAAATTCCTGGGAGAAGGTGACAATATGGTCCTGTAGATATGCTCCCACTGGCAGGTCAACGACCTGTGATATCTGTAAATAAAACAAAGATTGTACACACACACACACACACACACACACACAACAACAACACACACACACACACACACACACACACACACACACACACACACACACACACACACACACACACACACACACACACTACACACACACAACACACNTTTTTCTTTTTTTTTTCTTCAAATTTCTGAAAATTTCATCAAACTATATATTGGGTGTACCAGCAAGATGGTTACAGCAAGCTGTGGCGGAGGTTTGCTATCTCCGATTGCTCTTGTTTAAATTATGTTGTTGTTTTGCGGCGCGCCGACAAGTACTGACCTCTTGTTTCTTTCATTCCATTTCTCTCCACCAGGAGGCCGTCGACAGCTCTGGCGGCAAGAAGATCGTGAAGATAATAGAGCATCTCGAAGCGTGCTGAGCCGCGTTGCCACGGCTACGGAGATGCAGATGCAGCAGCCACGGGGCCCTTTTTTTTGTATACGTTGTGTAATTTTAGTGTTAAGGGAGAGTGCACTGGGTTGCCTGTTCGCGTGCGTGCGTGCGTGCGTGCGTGCGTGCGTGTGTGTGTGGGTATGTGTGTGTGTGTGTGTATGTGTGTGTGTGCGTGCGTGCGTGCGTGCGTGTGTGTGTGTGCTGCATCTGTGCCTCTAGCAAGCTGAAGAGGTCGCGTGAGAGGGAGGTGGGAAGGATTAGCAATGGAACGAGAGAGAGTGCGCGAAAGAGAGAGAGAGAGAGAGAGAGAGAGAGAGAGAGAGAGAGAGAGTGAGAGAGATAGATAGAAGAG